AAACTTGAAAATGAAATAACTGTGTGCATTTGCAACTTTTTTTTAACTTCCTGGATTAGTTTGATTGATCACTTTGAACAAGCTGTCCAACAGTCCTGTGCATCTGGTTCACTCAAGAGCTGAATTACAAAACAAAACATACAGTACTCACATTACTGAAGATAAACCCTTAATTCTGGCAGCCAAAGGGCTGGTCCTGCCTGCATGTAGCATCTGATCTGGAAGAAACATTAAAAAAATTAACATAATAAAATTTCATTTTACCATTAATGACATTATCATGTATTTAAGCTAAGTCGTGTTTGTTATAGTAGAACAGAACAAACCAGGACCATTTTGTTAAATGAGCACTCATGCTTGAAAAGGTGTACTCCTACACTATTGCCCCCTTCTCAAACAAGATGGCCACAAACCTAGCTACCCAGCCTGCTTTATTGCAAATGCCAAAAGGATTTCATTATTGATCAAAAGAGAAACTTCTAATCATCATTTACAGATATCAACTGTACTGGCTATTTGTTATTTTAAGGGAAATATGACAACATAAATTACATCTCCCACTAGATAGCTAGCCTGAAAAGTCTTATGTAGGGCAAAAATACATGAATGATGAATGTAAAACATGGAAGTGTGGTGGCCATTTGGTGAGGGTAAGGATGGGTCCTTAAAACTTTTGATCAGAGTAGAGCTGGGGTTCAAGTCTAAATGCCATCTTTACTTTACTATGTCGCTCTTCCATGACATACACCTTACTGTCAGGGGGAGGGGGATGGGGAGCGGTGACCCCACAATAGAGTAGCATCCCATCCAATGGGCAGTAGAAACACTTGTAGGTACTTTATGCTATATCCAGGTAAAAAATTAGCCAGGATTCAGGTGGAATCCTGTCCATTTGAATCCCACTCCGGATTTCAAGTGACAGGGATGATCGAAGGATTGTTTGGGTTTAAAATTTTTCATTCCAGGATTTTCTTCAGTAGGAAATTTTGTCAAGTATACTTTGTTTGGGTGGCTTGATTTAAAAAGGGATTGTTTTGGGTATTCAAAACAATCTGAAGATTTGTGGTAGTGCCCACATATTTCAGCAAATAAAGTACATCCAAACTTGTTTTTAAAAACTTATTTTTTGTGTTATATAATTTAATGCTTCTGGAAATTTTTAAGGCTCGTAAATTCGGCATGGGATTTTTGGGGGGTTAAGTTTTGGTCCAGGGATTTTTTTTGAGTTTTGTTGAAGGCCCTAGGAATTTATTTGGGTTTTGATTTTTGTCCCCATTCGATCATCCCCATCACAAGTCCGGAGTACCCTTCCTGGGACTGTAAAATGTACTGGCTAGTTAAGGAATGTTCACAATGAAAGAAGTTCAAAACATCATCATGTTGAGCATACATTTCCATTTTTTTCAATTTTGGATTCATTTTTTACCTTGCTGTTATAACTGCAGTTACAGTGATCCACACCTCATCTCCAAACTGTTGGCTAAAGAAAACAAACATGTCTATTAAAAGTTCCTAATTATGAAAACTTAGAAGCATGACCAACTTCATAAAATTCTGTGCAAAGCATCCCAATCTGGCCCTGAAGGTCTTTTCTATTCAAAAGATTGCTTTTCTCTTTCCTTTGCAGTGGCCATTATTAAGCTTTCACTGATTAGTGTTCAGTAAGGCCAGAAACTCTTCTGACAGCAGGAGTATTTTTCAGAACACTGAACGACTACGAAGATTACTGATTACGGTTAGGAAACTGAGTGAACCAAGTTTCAGGTCAGTTTTCTCTGTATAGTACTTAGGGTAGTGACCCTAACTAGAACCTGGTTCACTTTCCTAACCCTAATCACTAATCTTCAGAGTCATTTGGCATTCTGCAAAAAATGGTGCTCTGCAAAAAACCCCTGCCATTATTGTAATAAAACCTGCAGTTATGAGTTATCAAATTTTTCTTTAATAATTAAGTTGTCAGTGCTAACTATGTTTACTCCTTATGAGAAAATACAGATTTTCCTTTTTAAAAGTGGTAGAAGGTATTAAATTAAACAATAAAAAATTTCCTAGCCCGGGGTAAACCTTTAACAACAAATACCCTAGAACAGGAACGTGCCCATGGGGGGCGGGGAAGGGTTGTTGAGGTCATGAGGCAAGCTTGGAGCTGACTGGGTCATTAAAACATTAATTTGTAACATTTTTCAGTTTTGGATCGCTTATTGTTACTGAGGGGGGATTCGTGACACGAAAATACTGCTGCCTGGATGAAGATCATAGCTTAAAAATAGAATCTATTATCCAGCATCACATTGAAAATTGACGATCGCGACTCACTAATCACGGTATATGACTTCAAAACAGTTTTGAAACAAAGAACTTACGTCAATTTAAGTAAATCCCTCGTAAAGTATGAAAATAACGGCTACAAACCTTAAAAAACACAAAGCACATGCCACAAACTACATCTCCTTCCACGCGCCATCTTTGAAATTTTCGTATGCTTGTTCCCAGTAGCCGAAATAAACGCGCGGCCACCAAATGTTGCGTTAGATTAGGAGCGGACTTGGTCAGGTTTTAAATGTCTACTTTTTCTTCTTTTTCTTCTAATTTTGTCAATTTTATGTGGTAAGAATGGCTTAAATTGACAATTTTCAATCAGAACCATAGCCATTTCATTTTCCCCTTTATTTTCTAAGAAAAAAACTGCATTGTCATTTAATTCGCTCGGCTCCCGTTTCCCCAAAGTATTTGGGTAAGGTAGAACCGAAGGTACAGGGATATCCCAAGCACTTAATGTAAAGGCGCCAAAAAGCGCCTTAACCAGGCGCAAAAAGGGAAGATGTTGGAGGAGAGTGGTGGCCAAAAAGGGGGAGAAGGAGATTCCTTTCTCCCCATTTCCCCTTTCCTAACCCCCCCCCCCTCCCCTCCCCCCACCACACAGACTAACAGCGCCACAGATCCTAACCTGTAGCGCTATCCAGAGGGTGGGGGTAAAAAGATCACATCATGCACCCTGCAGAGGAATTTTAAAACAGGCTTCAATTCATGGTCTATTCTGAAATGTCTCAAATGCCTTCTATGTCCTTAAACCAGTGGATATTATTTCTAGTTGATATCTGTTTGAATTGGAGCAAGGCAGCACCTCGCAAGAATAGTCAGAAGTATCTAACGGAAAATGTTGCAAAAACTCACCAAGAAAGAGATAATGTCAAAAAATAATGTGAAGTGACGTTTATTTCAAAAATAACTTGCAAAGCTGTGCTTAAGTTACAAACATAGCTAAACTGATATAACAACGTGTTAAACTGAGCAAATCTTAATTACGTTTGCCTGACTGGGGCTCGATAACTTATGGCTGAGTGATTGACGAACGTTGCTGAGTTTGGATATTTCAGAACCCAGCACCTTGTTACTTGTTAAAATAGACTGATAATATATGTAAACATTTTTTGCTATAGTATCAGTTGTCCAAATTAAAAAACGGGTTTCATTCAGTCCTCAGCACATTGCAATAATGGCAAAGGAAATCGTGGTTTCTCCTAACCTTAGCTAAAACTAGGTAGTGATGCAAATATTATACGGGCCAAATAAGACAAATTAAGACAAAAAAGACGAAAAAATCCTCTGCGAGAATTAGAGACCCAAATATAGGATCCTGCAAATCTACTTATTATCAGCTAAAACACTATTTAAAGCTTAGTTCATTTAATATCACACTTAACACGAGTAAGAAAATAAATTGTACACTTGTTGTGTTTCTGAGAAATAAACATTTCTGGTGTATTTACATTTTACATTTGCACGTATATTTTCCAGTTTAAGCTGAAATCTCCATATCACGAAGACCCCACAAATTTGAACAGCCAGCGGATATGAGCGCATACAGCGTTTCTTATACCAAAGGCTGATTGTGTCAGTCTTTTGAGGATTGTTCTCGGGCGGATTCATTCTTGGTGTATCCAAAGCCTGTAGGCTCCTAGGTCATCTTGGGTATGCCATGATTAAATTGGGCGGAGTTCAGTAAGGGCGAAAATCCCTCGCCTAAACCGAGTGCTTCGAGAAAATTTCAAGGCCTGATCTCATTTCTTTTGTACCCTTCTCTCTGCTGACAGTTTCAGCAAGGAGAAAAGCACTTTTATAGTTATAGATGGAAATGAGGCTGAAGTTGACCTTGTTTTGATGCAGCACCTCCAGCTTTCTTATGTGAATCGTGTTCTTCTTTTGCTAAATAGTATTTTTCATGCATAATATCTATGAGAAAACATAGGAGGTTTGTACCAAAACAAGGTCAGCCTCAGCCTCACATTCACACAAAGGCCAGTGTATTAAGCCCACATCTGTCAAAAGATCTATCGCTTAAACGTTGGATAGCGCCATCCACCGAATAAATATCTATGTCCTCTATCCAGGGGATAAGTATAAGGGAAGCTAATTGCTCTGTCCAAAGGAATAGAGATTCATCCGGTGGATAGTGTTATCCCCCTTTTGAACAACTGGGGCCAATTCAATAAGTTCAGTCCGCACTAACGAATAAGGCGATACTGTCTAGTCACAAATTATTCACTCGACAACATCCCTTCATCGACCATCTTAAAATTCCCTTTTGGTAGACGCTGGAGAAGAAATTTATGACTGTAATGACAAAACACTTTTGAACGGTGGTTGTAATGGAAAAAGCGCTTGCTATTTTCGACAGTTTAAGCGTGAACGCGAGAACAAAGCGCATTCAGTTTCAAACGAAAAGGAAACACATTAGTGTGGACGCCGGGTCTTAAAGAAACCCCATAACGTACATTAGTGACTTTGCTGGTATCCTTAGGTGCCTGACAATTCCTATAGAAAAAGGCTACAATTTGAAGCAATAATAAATATCATAGAATTCGTGTGACTTAAATACTTTAAGCTCAGGAATACCTAAAATGCCGGATAACTAGTTAAGATTGCAAAGCCTCCTGCCATTTCCCTAATTAAAGTATCTTTTCCGACGAGCCCCAATTTATCTTGTAAGGTAGTAGTTTTTAAAATGCCGTATCTGAGTTTGCGTTGGGAGATTCCACGGGCACGATCACAGCGGGATCGTCTACTCCTTTTTCTTTAGGGTTTGAAGAGCCATTCTGAAGGTGAGCCAAATTAAGCTGAGAAGTGGACTTGTGTACGACCGGAATTGTCTTTACTGGGTCAGGCTGCTCGCTCCATCCATCTCCATAACTGTCCAATGGGTACGCGGGCTCACCGTGCTTGGGAATATCGAGACCTGAGGCAATCATTGCATCATTTTAGTTTCAAGTACTGTGATTTAGCAACGAAGGTTTTAGTAAACAGTGCAAAAACAAGAAAATAAAACAAATATCTCAGAGGATGGAGCACTGTGAGGGACTGACAAACAAAATAAATGCATAAGAACCAATCTGGTGCGCAATCTTTTTTTGCCCGTTTGAGCTAGGTTGCGAGTGATACTAATCCGTGTTGTATTGAGCGAATTGTACTGTAGGATTGTTTAGGGAACGAATTTTTGATCCAGTAAATTCTTTCACGTTTATCACTAAAGAGTAAAATACTATTTTTCTCATTAAATTTGGGAGTTTATTTCCCCTCATGTGATTTTCAAAAAGCTCAAATTTTGATACTTTCTGAATAACACACTTTCTTGCAAATAGATGCCAAATTGAACTCGAAGTCGCATGACTACTTATACTAATAGCCTCCTCCAAGAGAGAATTGATCATTCTCTCTTGCCTCTTCTCTTCATTTTCATGTAAAATTTCTTTAACTAGGATTATTACTTACCTTTCAGTTCAACGTCTTTGTCAACACGGAGTACCCCAATAAGATTCATTGCGAGAAACAGGATAAAAGCCAAAGAACCTGACCAGATCATGATGACAATCACACCCAACAGGTTCCAGCCAAATCCACGGAATGACAGCAAGCCACCATCGTACAGAATTCCGGAATCCTTGTTGAAGATGGGCGCAGACAAGACTCCCCAGATTCCACCACCGAGATGAACTGTGCAAAAACGAAAGAAAGAGAATGATGAGATCCTGCTAAAAACTGGGCTGTGAAGAGTATTCGAAACGTGGCCCTCCAATGACAAGACTCACCTATAGCAGCGGGAGCCGAAGCAGCTAGACTTGAAAAAGTAACAAGAAGACCTCATTTGCTAGCCTTATATTTTGTTTCATAGACACGATGGTGCATCCTTTGAATCCTTGTAACAAAGTTTAAACCTTCGGTATCTAGAACTGATGAAGTTTTTTTTTTTTCATGTCTCTTGTTATTAATGTGCCAAGTAAACTATTGTTTTCAACAGTATCAATTTGTGTTAACCAATGATAAAGGTCTATAGATCTATTATTATTCATTCAAAATATTTCTCTGTTTCTGACTGGATTAAATCCCTCGGCCAATTCTTGTAACCAGCTACTGCCGACCAAATTTGGAAAATATTTGAGATCCTGAACTCTACGAGTCCTCAGCTCCTACGTTCGTCATGAATACGAATGATCAGTGATAGGATGTAGAAAAGGATTGATAAAGGGCAGCAGAAGGCGCGGAAGCTTAACTGTTTTGATCGTTTAAGGCAACTGTTATTTGAAGAATATCTGTTAAACCAAGCATCCCTTTATATCAAAAAACTGCTGAGGAGTAGGAATGTTTTGAAGACGGTAACTTAACATTGATCGAGAAAGCATAAATAAGTTTGGTGCATTATTGGATTGGACTTCGTATGATATGAAGAATTATGCATCAGTCAATTGAAACCCCGTCCCCCGACCCCCGCGGCATAGCGGGAGATAGCGGGGATTTAACGCAGCTAATGCGGGGATTTAACACACATTTAACAACGTGATGTCCTCCGGGGGGGCGGGGGGGCGGTGGAATTAACAAGATGCTTGTTCCACCCGGGTCATAAGCGGGGATTTAACGCGCACATATTTGAAAGCGGGGACAGCAACGGGGAACCGTATCCTTCTTTTCTTCAGAAACAGTTGTTTGAGGGCATCAACTCCCTTTGAGATTTGTTGATCTGTAGAAGTCTTCAGAAGCTCTATCATTGTATTTTTAAACCTTGCTGGGAGTATGCAGTGTTCTAATAAAGTGACAGGCATTTTTATAGGTGCTCGGAAATGTAAGCGCATGCACTTATAGGGCAGGTATAAACGCAGCAACTGTTCGAATAAAGACAAAAACATTTGGATATGCACTTCACCACATGAACATCGTGCGGCTCCAATTTGGAGCAAGGTAGCACCTCGCAAGAATATTCAGAAGTATCTAACGGAAAATGTTGCAAAAAATCACCAAGACAGAGACAATGTCAAAAAATAATGTGATGTGACGTTAATTTCAAAAATAACTTGCAAAGCTGTGCTTACGTTACAAACAACTAAACTGATATAATTTAAGATTTGCTCAGTTTAACACGTTGTTACGTTTGCCTGACTGGAGCTCGACAACTTATAGCTGAGTGATTGACGAACGTTGCTGAGTCTTGATATGTGCAAAAACGAAAGAAAGAGAAGGCGATTACGAAATATTTTACTATAAATATCTCTTTCACTGATTTCAGCTTGATGAGATTCTGCTAAAAATTGGGCTGTGAAGAGTATTCGAAAAGTGGCCCTTGCAGTGACAAGACTAACCTATAGCAGCAGGAGCCGAAGCAGCTGAGTGAATGCAGTGTTCTGATAAAGTGACATGTATTTTCATAGGTACACGGAAAACGGAAATGTAAGTGCATGCACGTATAGGGAGGTATAAACTCAGTAACTGTTCGAATAAAGGCAACAACATTTGGACATGCACATCACCATGTGAACATCGTGCGGCTCCGATTTGCTCTGCACCTCTCGTAAAGGAAGGTGGTCAGGAGATAACCAGAAGCCATTTTCAAAATAAGCAGAATTAGTTCCATGGCACTGTTTCAGGTCTTAAGGATACTGTAAATCCGAACTGAGTCGTGTTTATTGTTCATGACCTACTGATGCCCCGCTGTACGGGGCCTGTAACAAACTATTCGGCCCTGGGGAGCCGGGAAATTAGCGGTGATTTAACACGCGGCCAATCTCAAATTCCCCGCCAAGTCGCAGGGGTCGGGGGGGAAGTTTGAACTGACTGATGCATTATGCAGATCGACCGAGGCGTATAACATCCATCGGGATCTGCTTAATTCTTCATATCATACCAAAACCGAATCCAATACCTGCTCATCATCTTTGCTGTTCTTCTTACCTGCTACAGCGTCTAGTGGATCATCGATCTTTAGCTTGACGACAAGTGTACTCCATGCAACATATGCTATTCCGGCGATAATACCAATGACAAACGCAGCATAGGGATGAACAACGTTGCAACCTGCGCACAAAGCAACCTACAAAATAACGATCGAATCGAGAGTGGCTTCATTAAAAGGTGTCGTGATTGTTTGCTTGTTTGTTTGTTTTTTTGCAGTGTCAGCTTTGCTGCCATAATTAGCTTAAAACGTTCGAGCCACCTCAGTCTCCAGAAGTCTCCACCAATCACAAAACCTTACTGTAACGTGTTTTTATCGTTTTATTGTGTTAGCTACCCGAGCATTTGCATGGCGAAAACTGAGTGGAGACAGTACTCAAGTGAAGCTAACAAAGTATGCGGCAAATCATAGCAGTTTCATTGAAAGGTTTTTTAGAGAGGCAATTCGGCTCTGTTCACTATACAAACAGCTACAAACAAAAACATAATAAGCTCATTCTCTTTTGTAAAGACTAACTACGGCTATAATACAATACCAAATCGAAATAAATGCGCGAGGACGACTCGTATGCAGCGCGAGAAAACGTACGTGCGCACAACGAGCACACTGAAGTCACGACTAGTTTTGCCGGGATGATCTTACTTCATGGCGCGAAATATGTCAACCAATCACAAAAAACAGCAATCCAAACTGAAACCTGCCAAAAAAGCTGATTCTGATTCTCTTTCTCACCATTCCAGTCAGTCCTCCATTGATTGTAAACAACAAACTCCAGTACTTTTCTGCATATCCCAAACGCTTGATAATCATGGCAGTGATGGCACCAGCGGCTCCTAAAATGCAATAAAAAGGAATCATTCTTCAACCTCATCAATTATCCAAATACACAAAGTTTGGATTATTTTTCTGAGTTGATTAAGTCATTGGCTTCCCGCATAAAGAGACTGTTAATGCACTTATCATGTTAACGATTAGTAAGTGAAACACTCGCTAAACATAGGTGATTTATTTACGCAATGAAAAAAATCGCCCTGTTTAACGAGGGTAACACTCACAACCGACGAAAATGGAAAAAAAGAATAAATGTAGACAGTAACTGCAGCTGGAGTTAAGAGGATTGTTGTACAGAAGGTAACGATTTCCACAATGAACGAAAGATCATCCTATGTAAGAGAATCCAGAATGCTGAATCCGAAAAACCTTTGCTCGTGGAATCCTGAATCCGGAAAATGTTTGCATGTGGAATCCGGAATTCCACTAACGACTGGAATCCGGAATCCAAGTACCACTGACAAAGAATTCAGAATTCAGTACCTGGACTCCGGAATCCACAATGTGTAATCCAGAATCCAAGTCTGTCTTGGATTCCCTTACATGGGATTAAAAAGAGGAACTAAAGCCTAGGATTAGTCAAAAACTGTGATGTTTATATATGGGCATCCTGTTCGCTAACATTGCCATGCCTTTACACTAGGTTCGGAAGGAAGATGAGGAGTAACGCGTTAAAGGCGCTTAACTCACGAAACGCATTCGACACGCTTTCGATTAAAAACCGATCCGACCAATAAAGGCCGAGATCTGTTTCATAATTGACCGGTTATCACCTGCACTGGGAAAAAAAACTGGACGCATAGCATCTAGAAGGGATTTCTGAGGATAAGGATGCAAAGCGCTAGCTTCGGCGGCGATCAATCGTTATTGCAGTTTTAAGAGAATACCATGCTTAAGAGCAATGAGAAGGGGATGTCCATAACACATTTTGGCGAAAACAGTAACAGAGTTACGGTCTTTTCCCCGAGTTCATTATTGATTGTTAAGGATGCTTATTCAGGCTTAGCTTAATTATAGTACTGTGAAACAAAGAGAGTGGCTGCCATTACAGACATACAACGCTCACGAGTCAAGATTTCCGCAATTTTAAGAGAAACTAAGTTGGAGGATGTGGGGTACCTCTTAGTTTTACAAATTGAAAGCGGTTTCTCACTAAAATTTTTTTTATTTCTAAACTAACCAGAGGCTTTAGAATAGAGGAGGCTGCAAATTGAGGTGTCTTGTATTCTTTTCTGTACCTTAGAGTGGAGAGAGAAGGGCGCTTACCACCAATTTTGAGGTTACGTGTACGACTGGGATGGGTGTTGTGTCAAATTGCACCTTAGCACTGTTTTGTGGAGGCTATCACTTCTCTTATTGGCTATTACAAGGTTGCGCGGAAACCTGGGTCAAAATTCATCCCCCAAAACAGTCCCACAGTGCAATTCAACATAAACCGACCCAGTACTCATGCGCGGCCTCAAGATGGCCAATAGAAGCATGGTCCTAAATGAGCATGTGCACAAAAAAGTATTGAACTAAAAGCTCACCTCCGATAATGGTATTAACAATGGCCAGTGCGACGGTGTCAGCATCTCCTGCGCTAGCGATGGCTGCTTGGGAACCGCCATTGAATGCCAAGAAACCAAAGAACAAAATGAATCCACCCAAGGCAGCTTGCTGTAACCAAGGAAACAAAACAATAATGACTTATTCCTCCACGTCAGGAGCCCATTGGGTTATGGGCTGCGCTCCAGTTGTGATATGAGTATTTTCTTCCAAAAGTGAAGTGTGATTATGCTAAATCTTATTTTTAAAACTAGTAAAGCAACAAAACGAGAAACGCAACGACTACAATGCGTACATGTTCTTGATCTTTGATTCAGGCAAAAGCAGAGTTTAACTCCGATCCTTATCCTTGATTTAAATTGTACTCAGACTCTGCACTTCCCTATCTTTGTTGTCAGTGTGCTGTGTTAGAAGTGATTTTAGGTTTCAGCCTATTGATGGAATCTAAAGTATTGCCATTTTCTGCCATTTTTAAAACTTCAGCTGTACAGTCTCATTCATAGAGAACTCCATTCGAAAGTTTTATAGGTCATCACTCGCTCTGAGTGGTTCTTCAGACAAAACGTCATCTGTTTTCTTGAAATACAACTATGTCCCCAAGCAGGGCTGTCGCTAAAAACTTCAAGTTGCCGGGTATATGCACATAGTAGAAGGGGAATTGTACAGCTAGGAACTTCTTTTGGTCCTTTTCCTTTTGTTTCCTATGAAAGTAGCCGGGGCTCACGCTCATAGTAACCGGGGAAAATCCCCGGCCCCCGGCTCTTAGTGACAGCCCTGCCCCAAGGATTTTCCGTCAGAAAATGGACAGGCGCTTATTTTCAGAGGAAAGGAAATGGGACTAGTTTTGACTTACCGGTACGGTATGGCCAGACAACAGCTGAGGTTCTCCGTTAACAAATCGACCAATTCTTGGACCAACAATAGCTGCACCTACCAAGGCAACTGTCCCACCGAGTGCATGAACAACGCCACTTCCAGCAAAGTCCTATAGAGACGCAAAAGCGATGTTCTCAACTGCAATAAACGAAGCGGATCGGGAGGAGTTGGAGGGGGGAGGATCTTGCAAAGAGAGAATGGGTAAGGGTGGCGCAGTGTCGACGGCACTAGAACAAGTCTATCACCAATGGGCTCCCAGGAGATGTCGCCCCAAAGACGGCTTAGCTCTTACAGAAAGGTATTGGATCGGGGTTGGAGATATTGCAAGGTGACAGGGGGTAAGGTTGGCGCAGTGCCCACAGCACTTGTACAAGTCTCTCATCTAGAGGGCACCGGGAAAAGTCGCCCTAAAGACGGCTTAGCTTTTACAGGATCTGGCAAAGTACACAGGACAGACTCCCAGGACCCATGGACCAACCCCTCAATTGGTCACTTAAAGTCACTACAGCTACAACCGCGTTTTGTAGAAGTTTTTTCTTTCATCATCGTTGACGTCTTGCAAAGTCTATGTTTTATGTACGTAGTGTCAGTTCTGCTACTTATAGATCTTAGGACGTGCGCATTCGCGATTTTCGATTGCTGCCCTCAACCTGCATTGCAATATATTATCCCGAAAAATAAGCTGTCAAATAAAGGATAGCGTGGGAGAGGAATCACGAAAGTTCGGTAAAACAAGGAGTGAGGGGGAAGATTACAGGGAGAGGAAAAGCATTCCCGAGTCTTGTCTCCTCCGAAATTTTCTTTCTCGCTCCAATAGCGTTTTTAATTTCGTGTTTTTCCCAACCAGAGGACACATACACCGGATTAGTTTCTGCGCAGCCGTTTGGTCAGGAATCAGCCTTCCTCCTCAACAGTAGAGTCCAAATTCGTTTTATGTGAATGCGAGAATTTCGTTAGGTACCATCGACTTTATATGCTCATTGTTGAACTGATTAATTAGGCATTGATAAGCCGGGGAGAAATTTGTAACCGATCATTGAAGTGCTATGAAAGGCTTACCTGGTAAGTGATGGCTCCTCCGTCTTCGTATGTCACGCCTTTGTACAGCCAGCCGTTACCATCCCAGGCCCAGTGAGCGACTATCGGGTACAGGAAACCTTCAAAAATAAAAATTGAGTTGGCGTGCATTTCGTTTCCTTTTACTTGAGCCTGGTTTAAGAAGTGCAGTTCCGGGGGAGAGGGTGTGGTTACAACTTCAAGAAAGCGGGATTTAATTAGAAATAAGGCACTTTTTTCTCATTCACTCACTGTTGTATTTGATGCGACGTGAAAGAAATGTTTGCAAACATGATAATTCATTGAAATATTTGTTCAGCACCTAGATCGGACACGCTATTGTAAAGCCGGGTTTTCTCAAAGCTGAAAATGGATGATCATGTTCTCTGCTTAGTTGGAGACTAACCCTGTGAATGGGTCTTTAATTTGTCTTCATTTGCATTCAACGGTCTTGACTTCAAACCCCTTACTAACAATCACATGCTTGACTTTTCTTACAATTTGGCCCGGAACGTTTCAAGACATCCCTACGCGAAACTAAAACTAATGTTTTCCTCTTGTTATGCTCTTCGTAATACACCGACCAGTGCACATTTATCTTTAAGCTATGTATTGGTTCGTACGTGTAGTAACATGACTATAACTGACCAGTCAGAAATACAGAGTACACGAGGTAAGCCTTGAACTCAGTTCTCTCAGCCATAGCACCGCTGACAATAGTTGCCGCTGTAGCCGCAAACACAAAATGGAAAAACCAATGAAAGAACGTCCTAGAAGGCAAGTAAGACAGAGCAAAATATTCGTGACCGATGAAACCATTGCCATCTGCTCCAAAGGCAAACGCGTAGCCGAACAGCCAGTACACGATGGCACCCAAGACTGTAAAAATGAAAAAGAACTTGTTTAAGAAACATTCATCACTTTCATTTACGAACGTTTTCCTTGACACTCATCTGAAAGAATTTATCATAGGGCTGTGTAAAAATAATAATAATAATAATAATAATAATAATAATAATAATAACACTAACAATAATCCCCGTTGTCTTATGATCTAAATAGGCCATTTCCGAGTTCCAGCAATCTCACTTTCAAAGCGAGGCCAAGTGCAAAACTTTTCTTGTGAAAAGGGCTTTCACTGGTTAGGAAAAAAAGACATACCGGTAATTTTCATATCAAAGGCTTTGCACTTAGCCTCGTTTTGAAACAAAGGGTTGCATGGGCAACTCTGGAATGGCTTATTCAGTTACTCTTGTAGTGACTGTGGTGGCATATGAGACTTTTTAAATCTAATGACTTTTTTTAAAAAAGGTTTTTTTTTCTGTTCAAAAATCACCACTGACAAATAAATTACTTACAGACATCCAAGACGTTCTTGATGAGGATGTTTGTTGTGTTTTTTGATCTCACTGAGCCGGCCTCGAGGAAAGCAAACCCCGCCTGCATAACTGCAAGATGAAGATGACTGTTAATTTGATTTTCCCTTAGCCGATAGTTAAAGGCATTTTGTTAGTGCGCGCGAGCCACTGCTTAGTTTGTTACATTTGTCAGTTAGTAAGTGGAAAAAGGGTTTATCCCCCCTATTTATAGATATTTTGCTATGTTCCATTTCCATCGGGTCCTCAACCATGCGGGAAAGCATCTAGCTATCCCTGGGGCTACTTGAGTCAATTTTTGCTGAGCATCTGCCGCTGGCCTCTCAGAAGCCCTACCCTATTAGAGGAGACGATGGTAGCAGACATTCACGTTTTCCTCAACTGATTAATTTGAGATATCCCCTGTTGATTGATCGCAAAAAAACTGGGTCTGTCATGTAAGCGGACTTTGGGCGTTTAATGGTGTTCGGAAATCCACTTATTTTTATTTTATTTTATAAGCTTCGCCGAAGAACCAAAATAAAATACATACAACGTAATTAAACTGAAGAAGGGGGTCCTCAGGGACACCGCAACAGCTGAGGCCAATTTCAGCCGGCCCGGCCCCAATATCTACATACAAGCGAGTAAATGGCTTGCAGAAATCCGACGAATCACAGCGTTTGTCTTTGTTACCAGGATAACACCCTTTTAATTACACGAACGTTCTAGAAGGTTATTGACAAGTTTCCTTCAACATATTTTCATCCAACTCTTCTCAAATCAATCTTGGTAAAGGTATTTAATATCACAGGGCGCTTTCCATTTAACAAAAATTCCGGTTTGAAATGTTAAAAATTCCACCTGCTCAGAGCGGCTGTTTTCGAAGGCTGCGCGTTTGGTTATTGTTCTTGTAAGCATGGTACAAAAGAGCGGTACTGGGACAACAATTTTGTCAAATGGAAAGAGACCGGTAAAAGTGGACCACCTTCAAAGCTGGTCCCGAATATACCGGTCAAACGAAACCGAAATGGTCCGTTCCATTTGTTGTACCAATCGACAATTCGAGAGTTTTTGGTTGAATTGAAAGCGCCCATTGACTCTACTTTCGGTGACTGGGACACTGTACTGGTTTCTAAAGTGGTTGATGCTGTCATGTCATTTGGGAGCTTAAGCAACTATCACGACGACGGCAACGAGAAAGTCAAAAAAGAAGTAACTTTTAAGTTAATAAGCAAAGCAACAACTCTGCACGAGCATCACGCTTTTTGGTATATTTCTGAAACTTCCAAAGCAAGACCACGAAGTGAAACTAAGTCCTAATGTGACGTTTCGTGGATGACGTGGACACACGACGACGAATTTTCTTTCCTATTATTGGATGCTACCTTGCGAGCAGAGGCCTTCTCTCTTGCATTCGCATAACGCTAAAAGCCATGCAAGAGAGAAACTTTTGCTCACACAGTACTGAATGCGGGCCTGAAACCAGGACATTCGGGCTACAATTGGCTTAAGTTAACCCAATAAAGATTGAAAGAACGCAAATGCATTTTTTCAGAAACATTCTCCTTATAAAAGCTCCCTATTGTTTAGTTACCAACGTCATTTGTTTTTATCTCAGTTAAGGCAAATATCGTGCATCATCACTGAGCACAACTCTTAACTGATAAAACTTTTGATCACTGTATGCGATATTGAGCGAGATCACTAGAATACGAGAAAGACATCTCCTCAGTTTTGTTTGGAGGAAGAGGAGTAGTCTTGGGTTGGGTCGGAGGTGTGTATGACCATAAAAATATGCGGACCAAACCAATTGTAAACCAAATACACATACTAATTATCATTTTTTCGAGTTTATATTGAAAGAAAAATCCTTCCTAGCCCATGGTATTTGTTTCCTTTCATTATTCCCCCATACCAAAGTTACATAACAATTTTTCACACGAAATGTTATGAATGATTGGAAGTCACGTTATTTTCTCTCTATTTTCCGTGATTTATGCGACATCATATTGTTACGGGAATGCAAACACGCTCGTTATCCAGTGCCTATTAAACAATGAAATGAACCGCGACAAAAATATTGCATCATACAAAATTGTTGTGCATTGCTTAGCGCGTTAGAGATAAGCAATAAGCGAACCCCTAGGCGAGAAAATGGTCTCTGGTAAACGGATTTTTCTCCTTGAAAAAAGGCATTTCCTGTTACCATTTTCGATGAAAACAGTCTTTTTTGAGCAGAATTCTAATAAGAGAGGCGGTTCCGAAGGTCAATCAATTCAAATAAAACAATTAAGAAACAAAAATGGAACTCCTGTAGCGTAACTAAGAGCCCAAGTTAAAACGCTCCATAAAAACGGATATGAAGTTATTTTGTTGACTTTAAAGCAAACCGCCGTTCATTGCATTGGTCAAAAGATCTAAAAATGTTCAATCGATGCCAGCTAGCACGTTTTGATTTCTCATATGTTGTTAAGAAACAAAGACTATTGATTCTCTTAAGTGTTATTTAAGCTTGACTATATCAGGCGCTGTCACGATACCGGGTTTTGCAGGTTTTTACGTTTGGAAAGTGGTTTTATAAAGAGATATAAAGTCCTATTTTATGTCATATTTCCGAACTTTCGAGAAAGGCGTTGGAAATTAAAAGAACAGTGTATTTTTCTTAATAACATATTATTGTTTTTGATGCTTACTAGTCCATAAAATTAAATTTTGAATGGGAATGACGAAATAAGCGCCGACACTAAACGCCAACCAAACAACAGAAGCCTTGCTCTGTGCGCATGCTTAGAAAGAGCAGATGAATAGGCTATCCCTGAAAGAAAAATAAGTCTGACGTCGACATTGCGACATGAGTTTTCTAAATAACTTGTGGAGTCCGAATAGTTGTTGAAAGTGGTGTTAGCGAAATAAAATAGTAAATTTTAAGTAATATTAAGAGATCAACAACTACATACTCCTAAATGCATTTTAATAAGCACTTTTGTGGGATAACATACTATAATTACGCACTTGGTTCTGCGTCGGTATTTTTCCGCTATCAACCCTCGTAAACACACGTCGCGGACAGTGCATTGGATGTCGTTAAACATCATACATTGCTTGTTGCTGCCTTTCAGAATGACCATTCAAGTTCATGAGTCTAAGTTTTGCCCTAATAACCTCAGTAAAAGACTGAACTACAAGTCACTGTCGGTAACGTCAAACTACATTGAGTCTCACTTAAACATCTTCAAGTCGAAGTTGACAAGATCCCACACCCTTACACTTTTACCAATTGTAAATACTTATTAGGTCGCTCATTTTGACGCAAGTTCAATATCACCGCATTTCCTTGCTGTAGCTCGCGATCTCCTCTCTCTTTATTAATATTCTTTGCACGCATCCGAAATGTATTACTGCTAACAAAAATGCAACAGAGGTAAAGTTCTTCGTTTTGCAAAATGTTTTCTAATTTTGGAAGCACAGGAACAGCTAGTAATGCCAAACGACTCTTTCGTAGAATTGCTGTAGTAGTTACAGGCAGATCAAGAAGGCTGCTTCGAAAAATCTCTTAATTTTTGTCTTTCTTTTACAATACACGAATATACGTTAAAGTTTGTAACTAAGAGGAGTCTAGTTTAGTGGCGCCAGAAATGATTAAATTTGTTTCAAACGAGAAAAATCAGTGTTAAACAAGTTTGAACCAGCTTTGTCGGTCGTTTTTGGAGAGCCCTGGTAGATAACCTGAACACAAACGTCCCGAGGCCAAATCGAAGTCTTGACGATCGCTATTGACAAATTAAACGATGATCTTTAATAGAACGTAGTTAAAGCGTCGATTGCATTGCCACTGATTCCGATGACGTTTGACAACGTTAATCGTGCGATAGGGGAGAGAAATCTGCCAAAAAGTGTTCTGCGCGCTCAGAGTTATTCTTTTGCTTATTACTCGAGCTCCGCGCTAGAAGCGTTACTACACAAAATGCGACGTTCAAAAACCGACTTTTTGATGGAAAACGCGCTACGAAAGCGACGTCACCAGGCTTATCCACAGAGACGCTCGTCTAATGTAGAACTTGCGCTGTTACTATTGAGAAACGATGAAGCGTCAGTGCCTCATGTCGTGAGCGATCATCGGACTTCTCTCACGATAAATCAACTTAGGAATCACAAATTCTGTTACGTGGGAAAGGATGTTTTCTACGGCATTCTAAGCAAACGTTCTTAGTGTTTCTTGATGTAAGAACGCCTCACTCTGCATTCGGGAGGCTACCTTTTTTTTATGTTTTCCTAGTTACAATCCTTCCTTAAGCAGCAGTGAAATATATTAAACGCCAACTACTTGTTTTTGTTATGATCTACAACAAGCTTTTTTCTTTTTTCTATATTACCACGAATACAAGTTAACTGAGTCTTTCTCTTCTCTCTCTCCTTCAGTTTTTGCACACCATCCCTTCGACCTAAATCGCGAGGTGCAAAACTTTAATACCAAGAAGTAAACTGAGCTCGGTATACCGAGAAGAAGCTTAGATAGATCAAGATTTAAAAAGACATTTCATTTGTTTACATCTTGATCAAAACTGACCAGTCACGTCAGTTATAGAAAAAACAAAACCAGCTGGTAGAGTTTACAAATGCAGACCACATGTCCTTTGTAAAGGACGATGGACTTTGACTCCTAGATAATAAAGAATAAAATTCAAGGGGTGTGCAAGGCAAGGAGCGTTGTTACACGCTCAGAACAACTGAACAAGTTGTAGTTCTTAAGGCCAGACTAGAATTTTAGTCTTTGGACTAGCATAAAAGGAAATGAAAGCTCGATCTCAAACGGGCTCAATCACATACATTCATTGACTTTGCTTGTCTACATGTCTGAGAGTTCGACCATGTTTATCCTTTCCTTTGCGGAGTTTGACTCTTACTAAACTGAGCAAATGCGAGACTCACTTAATTTTCTTTTTATTTCTTGTCTTTCTTTCCTTTTTTGTTTCATTTACGATTGTAAGCCAGCCTCTAGTATCTTAAAAACTTGAAAGCCTTAACCGCAGCCGAGTCTGAGTTGCAGATATCTCTATCTCAGTATGGTAGACGAGGATTAACGTTTCCTAAGAGCTTCATCTCTTCATTGACATTCATGTTTTGTTTCACCTAGGGCTCATAGATTGACTACAGCTAGTTAAGGTTTCTAAAAGTGGGCCAGCTGGTATCTTTTTTTATCCGTCATATTCGGCTCGTTTAAGAAAAAGCATTGGCATACGCTACTGCTCTTACATTGAGAAGGTGCAATTGCGGCCAGAACAGATGAAAAATGTTATCACATTGGAGCCTCTGTATGAGTATTTCCGACGAAATCAGTTGCGAAGATCTTTCAGATTAAAGCGAGGATTGCATTGCCATTTCAGTCAAGTTTGACAACGTAAGTCGTGCAATGACAGTAAGGGAAACCTGCCAAAAAGTGTACTGTTCGTTCAGAGTTTTTGTTTTGCTTACTTTCTCGTTTCTGTCGTTGCTGTGGTTGTGTTAAGCTGCTAGTAGCGTTACCACGCAAAACTCTTCTTGATATGCGACGATTTCGCCTGAAAAATAGACGATTTAATGGAAAACACGCAACGACATCGACTTTCGCAGGTACCCATATAGAGGTTCACATTATGAGAAGCATGCGTGATTCGACAGATTTTCGACAATGCTTAACAGGCTAAGGCGAAAGTCTAAATCAATTTGCTCTTAGTCCAAATATCTTCTGTCTTCAATTAAATAATGTCAAGAGAACATGTAGTACATCGTCTAGACAAAGGTCTCAATAGAAAATTGAGAGGAAAAGTACCTACAATGTATGATCACTAAAGTACTTACAAAAGATTAGGCAGCCCATCACTATTAAGAAGAACTGGTCCAGGTTGCCAGCAATAGTATCTACCCGGCTCACTGTCGTGGCGGTCACTGTCGTGGCAGTCGACATGCTGCCGTCCATTTTGTAGCTTTGAAAAAAAAAAAAAAACAGTAGTTTCTCTAGCAACCTTTGTGGCATTACAGGTGTGGTATGGAATCGCTAATGAAAGAGTTCCCAAGTCTCCACTAAAATAGTGGGTAAGTTGGGGAGGGAGGGTGTGAGTAAATGAGAGTGTTGTAGGCATAAAAACAAATAAAATTGGTTAATAGTTAAATCGTTAGAAAAAGCACCAATATTGAGCGACCAACAACTACAATGCAGCTACGCCCAACACAAATATACAGTATGTTGTCCTTGGTCCGCGACTTTTACGAAAATGATAAAATATTTCGTCGAGAAAAAAAATACGTTGAATAATGAAAGATATCGTGACTTACTGATTAGCATTCTTTCATATGACGAAGTTTCGGCTTTCTTGCTGTGGGTGAAGGCGCGAAATTAAAGTTTGTTGACAGGTAGGTTAATTTGTCTTTCTTGAAGTTTGGATTTTTTCGGCACCGTAAATTACACGCGGTCATGTTTACTTAGCCTGCGAATGACTAAAACGCAACGGGAAGACGTGCCTTTTTGCAGAACAGGTTTCCAGATCAACTTATTTCTGCTGTTGGAAGCATATTGCTGTAGAATTTTTTGTTTTATCGACTCTTGAAAGATATCACCAAATTTCGCTTAGCGGTCATTGGTTCGCGACCTATGACCTGGTTGAATAAAACTTCGCAAAATAAAAAGCGACGGCCTTTGTTTTCGAAGAATGTTTTGAAAATCGTCCCTATACATGTCTACAAGTTCTCTTTTTTTAATACCTTGAATACATACACAGTTTTTGGTAATTATTTTCGACCGCGCTGAAAACCGCTCGTCGACGCTCGTGTGGGAGACTCGAGGAGACTGTTGTCTGAAGTCTTTCAAAGAAGACCAGATTATTTTATACTCACAACATCTTCCGAAAAAAACTTTAGCTTAATTGCATCAAGAAAAGAAAAAAGTACATGAAATATTGTGAAAATCACGTTTTCGTGTGGAAACTATAACATTTTTACCTTTTTTCCGTGCTGCTTACCTGAGACGCGGACCAAGGACCATCGAAAACGGTCGCCTTTTGTCGAACCCCAAGCAAAATATTTATGTCTGGAACTTGAAACTTCAGGATTATAGAGAAGAACATAAAAGCTATCTTCAGGGAGTATTTCAGCTTGTTACGTGAAGATTCGGGTAAGATATTCCAGATATTCAAGTTAATGACTTTTAGACGCGGACCAAGGACCACATACTGTACAGTGCAAAGTTAAAAACACCGATATTGAGCGACCAACAAACTGCAATGCAGCCACGTCCAACACAATACACAGTGCAAAATAAAATAAAAGGAACTGAAGGGTTAATATATAATATAATATAAAGTTAAGGACCTTGGAGCGAGGCAAACAGGTTTCTAGGGCAATTCGTTATAGATCCATTAGCTATAACCGTTGCAAGATGCCTGCGGCATTGACACATGAAAGTACTGAAACGTCTTGGAAATAAAAAGTACTTGATTACTTACTCTAAAATACTTCAGATAGCCTCCACAGCAGACCAATTAGCAAGCAAAAAAAACTTGGAAACTCCTCAGCTGGCCCACAAAAAGTAGCAAAAACCATTATTTTGCTGCTCACGCCATAGGTAATCGTCTGCATGATGACGTACAAAATGAGAGGAGTCTGGGGATGAACTTATCCCAGCTGAATGAAAACGAAATTGGATGAAAAAAGGGGGTTACCCTATTTAAAAATGACTTTTTTATATATAAAAAAAATAATAATTAAATAAACTGCCAACCAGAAAATAAAATTTTCTACAATGTTATTTCGTTCTTTAAAAACTTTGAAAGTAGCTTAAAAGCCTGTTGCTGTTCTAGTGCAAAATGAGAGGAGCATGGGGACGAATTTATCCCAGCTAAATGAAAAAAGAAAATGGGCGGGAAAAAATGGGGGGTGGGGGTTAAACCCTCTTTAAAAATTGTTATTAAAGAAGATAAATAATTTGCTAATCACAAAATATGATCATCTATAATATTATTTCGTTCTTTAGAACATTTAAAGTAAGGTAAAAAAAAAAACAACCAGTAGCTGTACTAATTAAAGGAGGGTGTTAAAAGAAGGACAGGGGATTCAAGTAAAAAAAAAAAAAAAAAAAAAAAAAAAAATATCTACCAAAAAAAGAGGAGGTGAGAAAAGAAATAAAACAACAACAAAAACAAGAATACTTATCCTGAATTACTTCGTTCTTGAAACTTTTCAGTGTAGAATTCCAGGAAGTCGAAAAAGGTAATTTGCAGATAAAAGAAAACATGGAAGAGTGGGAAAGAAAAGGTTAAGAGACCCGGGTATATTGGGACAAAGGATGCATCGACACCAAGGCTCTAAACAGTTGTGAAACATCAGGGGCATAGCACAACTGAGCAGGAATGTTTCTAACCCGGTACCAGGTCATATGCCCAACATTCCCGTGTCGAGTCCAGGAAAGAAGGAAATTGAAGAAATAGAAAAAGACTGAGAGAAGATGCAAAAGAAAAGTTGTAGTTGATAGACTCCACATTTTATTTCTCAACATAATCTCTCTCGATCTCCTGCATAGGTCAAATAAAATTAACCCAAACAAAGTAGAGTAAATAAATTAGAGAACAAAATATGTATATATTGAAAAATAAATAAAAGGCAATTAAAAAATAAGTCGGCTTTACTACAAAACAATAATGTGTGAAAAAAAATTCTGCCTTTTGTTCAGTCTTACAAGGTAACCCCGCCATTGCATCACCCAAAGAACAACTTTATGAGCAAACAACACCTAATCCAGCCTTTACAGAGAGAAATATACAAAAACCCAATGCTTATCACATACATACATACATACATACATACTTTATTGACTTTCCCAAGGGGCTTTTCAAAGACAATACATGATCCTATTTACAATTAAAAAATGTTTTAAAATATATATAAAATTACAATTCTTTAAGTAATTTAGTACGTAAACGAGTTTTAAAAACATCAATCGAGTTACACAGTTTAAAGGAATTGTCTAAGGAGTTCCATAGGTTCACAGTTCTATAGAAAAATGTTCTCTGACCGGCAGCTGTTCTAAAAAAGGGAATTTGTAAAAGCTGTGAATTTCTGGTGCTACGTCGGCTAACCTCTGCTCGCTTTATGAATTTTGATGTAAGGTATTCAGGGGCTTGACCGGTCATACATTTAAAAGCCATTGTAGCGTTCCGGTAATAAAGCTGACTGGGAACTGAAAGCCAATTTAGCTCCTTGCGAATTGGTGTAACATGGTCAAATTTACGCGCGCCGCTAACAATGCGGCATGCGAAGTTCTGCACTGCCTGTAACTTGTTGACATTACATTTTGAGGTATTTGACCAAACATTGGAGCAATAAAATAACCTGCTAAAAACTAAGGAATTAATAATCATCAAAAGTGTACGTTTGTCGAAGACATGCTTGACACGGTTTATCTGGCCAAGGCGGGACATGCACGAGGAAGCGGTTTTAATTATATGTTCATCGTAAGTTAAATTAGAATCCAAAGTCACCTAGATTCTCATCCAGAGCAAAAATCTTTGGTCACGTATCACACTCTACAGAGCTTGAACATATGTGTTTGGCTTGTCAATACTTTGACTTCATCAGCGCCGGATGGATCTCCGATAATCTGCATGTGATCACCAGCTGATATTTGTGAACAATGGGAAAGGAATTCACTTTCGGTTCAGCAGACATTCGTGGGGCAGGAACACGTGACGAACCTCTAAGGACGTCTGCGTGGGAGGCTATCAATAATCTTATTTAAGACCAAATAGAATGTTGTGAGTGTTGGTTGTCTGTAACCACATTTCGCAGTGTGTCAGCTCTGCCATAGGAAACGTTACCGTAAAATGTCTAAAATTTCAGTTAAAAGTTAACAGACAACTATAAGAGTTTAGTTAGCCCATTCACATCACCTCTGGGAATTTTGCTGAAAGACGCCTTTAAAAGCTTGTAGAGCGGTTTTCTAGTCATTGTCTGGCTATAAAGATCAAGCTTAACTTACAACAGAGCTGTTTACAGGTATTAGCTTGCAAAGTTCAGGCATGCCCAGAAAGCACAATTTCAGATAGTTTTTGGGTTTAAAAGTGACATAGCAGTCTTGACTTTTACTTTTCGCTTTCTCTCCTCCCCTCTTAATAGTTCCAGTTCCTTGCCTCTTTTTTTTCTTTTGCTGGCCATTTAGTAGACTTAATTTTGGTGGGAAAAGGTTTTAGGAAAGCTTTCAGGATCTTAGGATTAGATGAAAGGAAAGTAGGTGGGCAGTGCAACAAGATTTTCATGGGAATTTTCCGGTCAATGTTACATGGTTTTTTGCCTTTTTCTCTGGCCTCCTGGCATGGACTGAATCATGCTCATTCTGGTATGGATGGAAAGGCTACTCCTGCACATGACTTAAACCACGCGCCTTGCATTTCATTTGCGGGTGGCCAAGAACTTTTTCAACAATTTCTTAAGAATTCGCTTATCTGTTGTCTGTTGTAGAATTCAACAACTCACAAAAATTGTTAGTCACTTGAGCGCATTTATAAGAGTTTGCTTAAGGAATTTGCTGCAGAGGGGAGGAGGGGTCATATAGCAAATCCCTTCTGTGGGGGTGGTATGGATATTTTCTGGAACCACACAATTGGTAAAAGTGACGAAAATCCCCATAGGCAGTAATGAGTGGTCCAGAGGCGAATGGGTTAAATTGCCTGGTGCTAGAAAATTGAAGTACCAGCGTTGAATGCCAGTTGCTTAATTGCTGACAGTCCTCTTTACACAATATTTTACAGACTAGGCTACAAATTTATAATGAAAACGTTGATGATCAAAAATAATTAAGGATCACTCTTAATTTCCATGAAGCTACCAAATATTTGTGGTGCAATTAAGCTGTAAAAAAATGTTTGAACATATTTGTTTTAGGCATGGAATTTTCTCTCTGGCAAAAGTGATTTTTCTGTTGCAGTGAAA